AGAAGGTTGAAATTGTCAGCTCCAACTCACAATTTCTGTGAAGAAGAGGCTAAATGGTGAGATAACCCTAAGCAGCAATGATTTAACAAATGAATCTCTGAAATAAATTTGCAGAGTTAGACACTGAGCTTTCAGTGTGAAATCCACAAATGGCCAAGGGAAGTTCAGCTAAATTTTCTTTATTGCTAATTAGCTATCCTAGTCCCTAAGTGCCAAATAATATTTCCCAGTTTTTCCAGAGAAAGTGGTGGTGCAATTTCCAAACATTGCTTCTGCAACGCTTTTCTTCTGCAGCAGCAAAATGGCTGAGCTGATCTTTCCTTTCTTTCAGGACCTATTAGATGACTCCTCCCATAAGGAGTAGATAAATAAGTATTTCAACATTTTTAATAATACTCATATATAGTTTCCATGATTATCTAGCAGTGGCATAGCAATGTGAGTAAAATTAGAGAATGTAATATTATTATTATTATTATTTAAAATGCAGGCTGTGAATTCAGCTGAGCTGGGTTTGATTTCTTACCAGTCATGTCTTTGAATACTTTTTTTTAAAGATTTATTTATTTTGATTGGAAAGTCAGACACACAGAGAGGAGGAGAGACAGAGAGGAAGACCTTCCCTCCTTCCCTCTGATGATTCACTCTCCAGGTGACTGCAATGGGTAGAGCTGAGCCAATCCGAAGCCAGAAGCCTCTTCTGGGTCTCCCAAGTGAGTCGTGTCCTACGGCTTTGGGCCATCCTAGACTACTTTCCCAGGCCAGAAGCAAGGAGCTGGATGGGAAGTGGGAATGCCTGGATTAGAACCGGCGACCATGTGGGATCTCCATGTGTGCAAAGAAAAAGCTCCCATTTCATCATTTACTCCCCCAAAGCCCCAAAGAGCTGGGGTGAGGTATAGGAGCAAACCAAAGCTAGGATTTAGGAATGGTCTTCCTGTTGAGTGGCAGAAATACAACTACTTGGTCTATTAATGCTGCCTCCAAGGTTCCAGAGTAGTAAGAAATCTGGAGCCAGAGCCAGGGATCAAACGCTAGTTTCTGATGTGGGACATGACATCCTCACTCTAATTACTAGGCTAAGTGGCCAACTTTATCTTTCTTTTCAAACCTATCACCAGAGACAGTTAAAATTCATTTTCCACAAGACAGTAGAATGAACTTCATGAGACAGAAATGAAACCTAGTCTCACATTTTTTTCAGTGTTTTTCCATTTCTTCTTTTAAGTGCTCCTGTGCCTTTTCTGCCCACTTCTAGCACACATTTTGCTCACTACAAAATGAGTAGTTGCCCAGATTTGACTTTTTTTCAATATCACGCTAGTAAAATGCTCTTCCGTATATATTCTTTTTCTTCTCATTCATTCCTTTTTCTGCAGATCCCATTTCACTCTTTTCTTATCAAGGATGTGTGCACCATCAAAGCAAACAGTCTACTTGCTCATGATTGCCTACCTCTTCCATTATACTAATCTTTAATGAATTGATTTAAAACCATTTTGTTCCACCGAAAAGTAGAATCTAAAAGTGCGGACATTTTCTGTACATTATATTCTAGAGCGCCTGGTCTAATAAGAGAGATCTTCAAAAAGCTTATGGATAATTCATGTTAGGAAAACAATATTAATGTATTTCAAGTTATTTTTTCATGAAACATTTTTCAATTCTGCTTCCTGCAATTTTTCAGAAATGCCTGCATACACATGCTTTTACAAACATAGAATTTGTAGAACAGACATAGCAAAATTAATGGCACCAATCTTCAAGTTCAAGCTACAGGGATACCTTATTTCATCACTACTACTCTGTTCTTTGACAATTCATTCAGCTTAATTGCCTCCACCTTCAAAAACACCTTGCACTCCTAAACTGACAGCATACCTTCCTCGTGAAACAAACTAAACAGTGTGAAAGAGGTGTTTGCAAACAAACCACTAATTGAAACCTGCCAGCCCAAGGTACAATAAATGAATGAAATAGTATTTAAAATGTGAGGATTTTTAAGGAGATATGTGCATGACTCTTCCCACAGATAGCAAAATCCAAAGCCTGGAACTCAATCTGGGCTTCCATCATGGGAATCCAAGTATTTGAGCCATCATTTGCTGCCTCTTAAGAAAGTAGAGCCAGGACTTGAAACAAGCACTCTGTTACGATACACAGTTATTCCAAGCAGGGTCTTAACACTGCACCAAATTCCCAGGCCACATATTGCCAACTCTTGGCATCAGCATCTACATGATGAAAAACAATTTTCAGCTTCTGAAAGATAATTAAAGTTTAAGCCACTAATCTGTAGAAAAAATTTAAGCTTTGAAAATGAAGAATGATGAGGGAGATGCCGCCATCCTCTACTGTTGTATTAACTAAAAGAAGGGTATTGGCACAGGAGCAAATAAAATAGGCAGTAATAAAGAAACCATATATATAAAGGAATATATGATTTAAAAAAAACCGTTTTTCCTAATAAGTTTGAAATGATACACTATTCAGTTAATGCATTGTCATATGTGGCTATACATTTGTAGGACAGTGAAAGCAGATCCTTTTCTTATACCATTCACATCAATAAGTTCCAGACAAGAAAAATAACAATTATAATAAGTATATAATATAATACATTGGCAATTTGCATGTACGTCCCCTGTCCCTACCCTACCTACTACTCAGTTCCTGATTCCTTGGTAATGCCTCCATCTTCCAGTCTGCTCTTGGGAGCAGTCAGCTCAACATATATGAAGAAATGTAAATACATCTGTCTCTAAACCATCCTGTGTTATTCTGTTTAAGAGTTGGCATGCTTTTTTTTAACTCTGTTTTGCACAATTCCTGAAATTATGTTGAAGTACAATACAAAAAACAGAAATCTTTGATTACTATCTTGCGGAGTTTCAAATGCCAAGAACAATTAGTATATATTGTATATTTTAACTAGTCCAAAATACAGATCAAAGAACAAATATAGATTAAGCAAAAAGGTTGGCATAAAAGCAATATGCATATATGCTTATTGTCTAGCAATACATCATTATTTAAATCAGTTATGTTTCCTTTTCTGTGTTGCACAAGAATCATAATCATTTACAATTATCAGCAATTTAAATAACTGAGATAAATATAATTATGTAGACTTAATTATCTGAATTTTTGTGAAATTATTTTTTCAGAGTTGTAAAACTTTCTATTATACTAATCTTTTGACTGAACTTTACTTCTGTTTTAATATTAGAATCCAGAGAGAATATTAAGCTATATAACTTGGTGTCACATTGCTAAATATTGAAAATATATGTCAAAAAGCTTAGCAAGTAACAGATTGCGGCTCCCCTCCTCCCCCTTCATTGCACAGCTCAATCATTTTCAGTCAACAGGGTTCTTTCTTTTGTGTAGTTTTCGGTAACATGGTTTCTTGCTACAAGCCATTTTTGCTTTAAATGCTTGAAAACCAAAACATGTACAAGGTTCAATTTTGTTATGAAATTTATGAACATCTTGAGTACTTCAATAAAAGCTTGTTCATTGTCAGACCAGCATTCCCCAGATCGGAAAATGACAGAATTCATATTATTTTTCACTCTGAGAAAGGCGATTTATTAATAGCCTCTGAGAGCAAGCAACAAAGCTGTTACAACTGAGATTCCCCTTAACTTCAAGTTCCCCTTTATCTTCCAACTGTGAAAGATTAAATCCATAATGAAATCTCAAGGATGAGTTCATGAGCAATGGGATTTGCAAGCATTTTACGGCCTCATGTAGAACAAAAGGAAATCATCTGAACAAGACTGCCTCTAAACTGGCAATCGCATGGTTTAATCGTGATGTAGAATTGAGGCCCAGAAGTTGTTTTGAGGCTCAGTGAGAATTTATACCTATTTTAAATGTGAGGTATCATTCAATTCTTTTCCTAGTTACAGAAAACAATGGCAGTTGCGCTCCTGAGCAGTTCAGCAGGTTTTCAGCCTTGTACACAGGGTACTCCTGTGCCACTCGGGCCGAATCTTGGCGCAGGCAGGCCCAGCACACAGGTCTCCTTCCCCTTTTTCCCCTCGCAAAACGAAACAGCCAGGACTCGCTCATGTGACACGGGTGACGTCAGCCCCTTGCCGGGGTCGCGTGACCCACACCAACTTCCCGCTACCCCGCCCCCGCCGCCGCGCGGGAACTCTCGCGAGAAGTCGCCTTACTATCAGAACTTGCTGAGGCGAACAGGGGAGTTTGCTCTGGAGAGGACTGGAAGGTGTGGCCGGGCGGCCGAGTTTCTGCTTTCTTTCTGTTCACGTTCAGGGCTGGAGCAAAGGCCTTTGGGGGCGTTTGCCGGAGCCTGAGCAGTCCCCCTTGGAAAACAGCAGGGGAGACGGCTAGGGAGGTGCCCGTCAAGTCTGAAGTGAAACGTGGCGCACGGGCCGTCCTCGCCCTCCCTGAAGGAAGGGGCTGAAGGGGAGAGAGAGAGAAAAAGAAAAGCACCTCGCTGGGCGCGGGAGAGCCGCGGAGGGCACGGCCCCGGCCGGCTGGCGCCCCAGCGACGCCGCGAGCGTGTGGGGAGCTGGGCCCCGTCTTGGGGTGCCCACATCCGGCCCCTGCCGTGTCGGCCCCCTCGGGGCCGAGGGGAAGCGGCAGCTGCGCGCGCCGGGGCGCAGAGTCGGCCTAGACGGGCCTGGGGTCCCGCGCCCCCAACGCCAGTCGCTGTCTTCCCGCCATTCGCGACTTGCCCCGCGTCTCCCAGCTCAGCAGTGCGCCCCCACTTTGGGGACGAGCCCTTCTGAGGGTTTAAAGGGGATCAGAGTGACATCTCCCCTGGGTCACCCAAACCCTTCCAGTCGTCTCCCGCCTTGCGCATCCTCCTCCACCCAGCTCTTTTGCCCCTGGACGGGTGTGCTCCGGACTGATATCCGGGGCCGGAGTCGCTAGAGGGAGGTGTGGGGCCGGCGAGGAGGGGGCTTCGCGAGGGAAGCGGGGCGGGCTGGCGGAGGGAGCGGCAGGAGGAGGCGCCGAGGGAGGAGACGGAGGCCTGGGGGACGGCAGACGAGGCTTCGCCCGAGCCCAGCGCTCTTTCCTCCGCTCCCGGCCGTCTGCGAAGCCGCGCGGACCGGTCGGCAGCGCGAGGTTCCCCGTGGGCGCCGCTGCTGCCGGCCGCAGGGAGGCCGGCCCCGGGCGCGCACGCTCGGCCGAGCCCCGGCGCACCCCGCGCGCCCCGCTGACAGCTGCAGCTGGACTCCTGCGCTCGGCTCCCGGCTCGGCGGCCGGCCTCGGGCCCCTCCGCACTCCGCCCCCTCGGGCTCCTCTCGCTCCACCTCTACCCCTCCTGCCCTCCGGTGCAGATCATTTCGCAACTGCCTGCTTCTTGCTCGCCCCGCGCCCGGCTGTTTTTTCCATTCCCGGCCCCTTCTTCTCTTGAGTACTTTGCCCCCTGAATTTTGGGGAGAGGCTGCCAAGGAGGGACGAGCGGAGCGTCCTGAGGAGAAGGAAGAAGCAAGGCCCGCAGCGGGAGGAGGCTCAGCGGGCTGTGGGGAGGAGACCCCACGCCGCCCTTTCTGGTCATCTCTCCTCCCGCCCCGCCCCTGCGCACACTCCCTTGCGGGCGAGCTACTTTCGGCCGAGGAAAGTGAGAGCGGCCCTGGTGACAGCGCCGCGGGGCCAGTCCCGGGGAATCGCGTCTTGTCCGTCGCGCTGCTAACCAGCGCACAGCCGCGACCAAGGATGGCTTCGACTACAACCTGCACCAGGTTCACGGACGAGTATCAGCTTTTCGAGGAGCTCGGAAAGTAAGAGCCATCGCCCGGCATCACATGTCCCCTTTCCAGCAGAGGGCGGGTCGCGTGGCCCCTGACTTGCTGGACTCCCGGCATGGGGCGAGGGAGTTTGGGTGACGGAAGGAGGGGGACCCCCAGGGTTATTGCTTTGGGGAAGGTGGTGTCTTAGTGAGAGGAGGTTACAGAGCAGGGGCGAGCCCCCTACCCTGATTGTAGCCCTTGCTGATAATCCTTAGCGCATGGTCTGCGCTCCTCCACCCTCTCTTGCACCGAGAGACTTGGTGAATTTATGATCTGCAGTTGTAGCTGTCATCCTGAGAAGTGTGTGTGCGTGTGTGTGTGTGTGTCCGTGCGCTCTCATGGACAGGGAACACAAACACACATAGGATGCAACATAGATCACGTTTTCTGTAAACAGAGTTGCCGCCCGGTCAGCGGGTGTCTCGGAGATGTGACCCAGGTTCGGGTGGCAACTTTGTGCCACTGACGGTGCCTGCCATATTTATTGATGCCGAAAGTTCAACTCGGCTTGGTGTGGAGTCGGCTTCACATCCAATAGTTGTTCTATCCAGGAAAGGGGCCACCCGACAGAACCCAACCCTGCCCCCCCTCGACAATGTCCATCAGTTTAACTAGGATTTACGTGTGCACCTTGGTGTTCTCTGGCAGGATTTATTTATACACAGGCAGTGGAAAAGCCCTCTGGAGAAAGGGGAGCTCTTCTGAGGAGTCGCCTCGCATGTAAAACGACCTCGTGTATCCAACAGGCGGTCGGTTTGGGGATGGTAAAGCAATCGGAGACCTAATTGGGACCTGAGCATAGGGACCTTAGGAGCTGAGCTATGAATGTTGATTTATGTAGCATCAGACCCTAATTGAATTCTTCTACTCTAGTTCCCACCACTGTTTATGAAAAGGATGTGTTAATATGCGTGCTGTTGGTTTGTACCATGAATTAAAGCAAATGTAAATATTTTATAACGTGATGAAAAGTATGTTCCTATGTACTGTCTGCTGGTAAAACATGGAGAACATGTCGGAAGAGCAGCTTAATTCAGATCCCTCCCCTCCCCCATCCCAAAACAGGGCACGGAGAAATCACCGTACCAGGATTGTTTTAAACCACACAAATATACTTAATATTTTCATTTTATTGAAAATGACCACCATATTTCCTTGCATGGAGACACATTATTTTTTTTTTCTACCAACATAAATAGGCAGCCAATTTTTGCTGTTTCTCAGCTCTGTTCTTTGCAGTGTTTTCTCGAGCATTTGGTGCTGTGTAAGTGTGAATTATAAAATGTTTTCAAATTTCATGTGCAAACAAGAATGGTCATAACTGGCACTTCTTTTATTTTGTTGATTAATAATGTGAGCCTCCTGTTAAGTAAAATTTACTTGTATGCATCAATACTAAAGAAGATCCTGGTTTCCAGGAAGGCTTGTTCATTTTCTGGGTGTTACTATAGTGCCTTGATACTGGACAGTCAAATCAATAAAAATGCTCAGACTGTGAAATTTTAATGGCTTATTTCATATTGATGATCTGATAATTATTGCTTTCCAGGGGGGCATTCTCGGTGGTGAGAAGATGCATGAAAATCCCTACTGGACAGGAATATGCTGCCAAAATTATCAACACCAAAAAGCTTTCTGCTAGGGGTGGGTATTTTCAAACATATTTGTTGGTTAGTTTTGTATATGGCTTTTTGGTTGTTGCTTGTGTTGTATACAGATGCATCATGTTGATATGATAGAGTTTTAGACTTAGATACCAGATTACATGTTGAGCTTTATTTCCTTCCTGAGTGTCTGTTGGTCTATACAGCTTAAGAATACATAAAGGAATACATTTCTTAGTATTTATTAAATTTTAAGAATTATGAGCAATAGCACCAATAACTATATCTCAGGCAAATAAGTGTCACTAGGTACATTACGCTTTTAGATCTTGGGTGAATGACTATTGGAAGAGCCCTAGGATGGAAAAATGTAAGTCTCACAACTGTCATTATTGCCTTTTGCTTTTAAGAGGAAAAATAGGTCATAGCTCAGTTGAATCATATATTTGAATGTAGTTACACTTGAACTTAATTCATCAAGGTATATTTAACAGTAATGGCTTTGGGAGGAAAAATTATGATTACTGTTTTCTAGGAAGCTCAGCTTCATTTCTGATGTTTCTATGTGCTGTTCTGATCTTTCCTTGGTCTTCTACATTAAGGCTTCACAAGCAATCATGTAATGTATTTTACACATGCTTTTTATAGCCACAGAGATAATTCATACTCATAAAATAGCTGTTGGCGTTAGCGAAGAAACTTGGAGAGCTCTTACTGCATTCTTTTTTGTTTTGGTGAACTCATGCAAAGGTACTTAATACTGACATGTTAGGCATTCCTATTATCATGGGTGCCCGTCTAAGGTATTTCCACGGGAATTTATGGTTTGATGAAATAGAAGTGAAATTTAAATGAGCAAAGTACCATGGTGTAAACTCATCTCAGTGACCTGGTTTATTTTAAGTAATGAGAGAAGAAATTCCACCAGGGTTAGTTTTCCTCATTTAATACATCTTTTAAAAAGTGCTTCTTCCCAGTGTCCTGGTATCGTTTGCCTCAGGTCTTTGCCACAGTTAATTTCCCTGTGAGCATATTGTAAATTCTACTTTTGACATGTACGTTAGGTTTAGGTTGGCATTTCAGTGGATTTATTGGAACAGGAATAAAATCTGATATGAAAACAAATGAGAAAAGTGTGCTATTGGTGATTTTGTTTCTCCATTAATTTCTATTCCCCCAAGAAAATTTTCACAATAAGAAGTTGTTAAGCTATAAATACTACACTGATTTTAGAAAAAGAGAAAAAGAAAAAGAAAGGAAAAGATAAATGAGCATGTGTAATTAGACTGTTTCAGTGCTTCTGTGTACTAGGTATTTTCAGCAGTGATAGAGCTGGTGTTTTCTGTTGATAGCGTTACAGCTCCAGTTCCTAATCTTTTAATGGCTTACATTTCCTCTGAAAGTAGATCAGTCTAGTTTTTTTTTTTCCTTTTACCAAACTCATTAATCAGAGACATCTTTCTACATTAACTCCAGTTCAGAAAACCTTCTGCGGATGGCAGATGTTTTTTCCCTGCTCAGGTACATATTTTCTTTTTCTCTCAATCTATGGAAGAAACATCTTTAACCAGATGAAATTTATTCTCCCTGCCTCTCTACCAGTATTCCTCACCTGTTCACACTTTGCTTTAAAAACTACCTACTCCCAAAGCCTTCATGTTCCCACTAGATTTAATGATTCCAATTATTCAAGATACGTTTAGGAAAATAACCAAGATGAAAGGCTAGAAAGCATCCTTCTTGTTCTTTCTATGAACTTTCATGGCTCTGGGAAACTTGTTATAATATGTTTTAAAAATTATTCTTTATTTTATTTGAATGGCAGGAAATAGAGACAGTTGCAAACAGAGAGCTTCCATTCACTGGTTTATTCTCCCAGTGCATACACAGCCAAGCCTAGGCCAGGCCAAAGCCATCCCAGAAGACAGCCCGAGTTTCCCATGTGGATGGCAGGGACTTGCGTATCAGAACCATCGTTTGTTATCTCCCAGGGTGGGTATTAGTAGGAATCAGAAGCCAAGAAGGGACTCCAGTCCAGGTATTCTGATATAGTATACTAGAGTCTCAAGTGGTATTTTAGGCATGGTAACAAAGGCATTATGTTAAGCTTGCTTTGTGTTAACCTGCCCCAGTGAGCTTGTGAACAACATCATTGATACTGGAACCAGATGCTCTGGCTTTGAATTCTGATTCTCTTAGCCACTAGTCACATGATTTTGAGCGATTTGTCTATTTTCTTTAAATCTTAGTTTTTTGTTTTTAATCTGTGAAATAGGGTAATAATTGAATTCTTCCTTTGTATTATTTTTCTTTGTGGAGTACATGAACTACTGTGGTATAAATGCACATCTGTCACAATATAATAAGCAGCCAGTGAATATTAACTGCTATTATATCATGGGTTTTATAATGATCAAATAAGATTACTTACAAATCAAAATTTGAAAAACATAAATCTATTTGCAGCTTTGATTTAGTTGTGATTCAACCCAGTTACAGTCTTGGCACCAAAGGTGTAAATTTGGTTCGTTGTCACCGATGTCTTCTAAAATTCAGTAAACATGGGAAAACATTCCTGGAGAGTTTCATGGAATCTTGTTAAGAGTCATTGAGTTTTATGAGAGTCACTGCTTAAACAGTAAAGTGCATTGTCAATTTTGATCAGATCTGATCACTTATAAATTGTAGGGGTTTTTCTTCAAATTGCTCTGCAACTTTATATTATTATACCAGTTAGAGCTGGTTGTTGTTTTTAAGTTTGTTAAAAACATTTATTGATTTGAATGGCAGAGTTATGGAGAGGGAGAGACATGACAGCAATCTTCCATCTGCTGGTTTGCTCTCCCAGTAGCTGCAATGGTAGGGGGTAGACCAGGAACTTTAACTGGGTGCCCCATGTGATGATGGGGCACAAGCACTCAGGCCAACTTGTACCTCATTGTCAGGTACATTAACAGGGAACTGGAATAGAAGTAGAGCAGCGGAAATTTGTATAGGTTGTTGGCTTAACCAACTGTATCACAATACTGCCCCCAAAGATCATGATGTATTTGTATGTTTGAATAGACTTTTTTTAAACCTATACTCAAGTTAAATTACAAACTCTTGAAGAAAAAAGACTTCATGCTTTAATTTTTCACTATAACATTCAAAATCTGCTTTTAATTTTTCAATATAGGATTCCAAATATAATTGCTCATCACTTATCAAGGATATATTCTGGGATACAGCTAGGGAATTTCATCATTTTTTCCAACAACAGAATATACTTAAGATAGCTATGACATCACAACGTGATGTAACTTTATGGGACCACCCTTTTATGTGCATTCCCATCTTTTACTAAATATTATGGGGAACATGACAATGGTTACAGAATTGAGGGTTAGAAAGGGCTCAATACATAGTGACTAGGATCAAATGTGGTTGTTAATACTTAAAAAGAAGTTGAATACTTAGTTTACTTCTAAAGTCTGTGAAACAGTGTATTAAGAGCAGATGCTTGCACTGAAATAGCAGAAAGTTAAACTTGTTACTAAAGGACTATACTATTGTGATAATATAGGTGAAATTAGTGGGAGGAGAAAAAGGAGAAGGATAAGGGGGTAGGAGAAGGAGGAATCCCAATATCTGCAAAACTATCATAAAAAATAATAATAAAAATTAAAAAAATTAAAAGGGCATATGTTTAAAATGCAAATTTTCTTTTAATAACACCTTGTGAGAATATAACATCTTAAATATTTTTAAAAAGATTTAATTCAAAGAGCTTTTTAAAAGAAGCTTTTTTTTTTTAAAGATTTATTTATTTATTGGAAAGTCAGATATACAGAGAGAAGGAGAGACAGAGAGGAAGATCTTCCGTCCGATGATTCACTCCCCAAGTGAGCGCAATGGCCAATGCTATGCCGATCCGAAGCCAGGATCCAGGAACTTCTTCTGGGTATCCCACACGGGTGCGTGGTCCCAAGGCTTTGGGCCGTCCTCGACTGCTTTCCCAGGCCACAAGTAGGGAGCTGGATGGGAAGTGGAGCTGCCGGGATTAGAACCAGTGCCCATATGGGATCCTGGGGCGTTCAAGGCGAGGACTTTAGCTGCTAGGCCATGCCACCGGGCCCGGAAGCTTTGTTTTTTAAAGGACTCTTTAATTGAAAGAGTTTAGGGGAGACGAGAGGAGGGAGAAGAGAGAGATCTTCCATGTGTTGGTTTACTCCCCAAATGGCCACATTAGCTAGTGCTGACCCAAGCCAAACCAAGATCCAAATCTTCCGAGTGGGTGGTAGGTACCCAACTGTTTGGGCCTTCTGCTTTCCCAGACCATGAAGAGGGAGCTGAATTGGAAGTGGAGCAGCTGGGACAGGAACTGGCACTTTTGTGGACTGCTGGAAAGCTGGCCTTGCAGGAGGATAGGGGATTTTTTTCTGTTATACCACACATTGGACCCTTAAAAAACTTTTCGCAGAAAGATGTTTATAATGATGATTATACCAATATGAAATAAAATGCAAAATAACATGCTTAATTTTTTAAGGTATTGATTTTTGGGAGCTGTGTGTGGCAATTGTGTGTGTATGTATCTATATACATATGTGTGTATATATATGTATATTGTGTATATATATGTATATATATATGTATATATATAATCATAGTTTTGCATGACTTTAGAAATCTAAGTCTTCAGTTTATCTGTTTTAAAGACCATGTAGGTCATCTAACTCAATTATTATTCTTTAAATGTAATATTACGATGAGAAAAGAGCTTGTCAATACATAGAGAATTCCATTGATGGAATTGTCAAAGATTTGGCAACATTTCTGCACAAATTTGCAAATCCAACTCTAAAGTTAACTCAGTATATTTTTTTCTGTGTTTGGATTTTGATGACTTTCCACCAGACAGTTTCAGTTGCATTTTTTCTCAGCTGTTAGTCACACACACCATATTTGGGAGACTCAGACTCCTGAAGAATTTCTTTCCTTTGTTGTTAGCACATGCATGTGCAAAACATTCCTTATACTATGCTGTGGTAGATAAAT